AAAAAATCAAGTAAATAAATAAATGAAAGTAGTCATCTGACACATACCTTGTAAGAAGTTTCTTTCATAGACTCAAAATGTATAATGACGAAATGTTATATTATTGGGTTGGTTTGCAATATTATATAAAAACTTCGTTAAGTTAATAGATTCATTTATGAACTGATAAGTTCTTAGACAATCACAAAGTTCATATTACCTATCAAAACTAATTTATATATGCAGGGTATAACCATTTAATATTTTTTGATATTAATTTAATGTTAAAGGCTAACAATAATTGTGTTGATTTATAATTGTGTGAGTGTTTCTACTCAATGAAAAATTTATCACGCTATATATAAAGCCACATATTAAAGGGGCATTTGAAAAGGACAGTGCTCTGCCCATAGGGTAAATCTCAAGTCTAAAAATAAATTACATGACATTATGGCCAGAAGCCGAGTTTTTTTTTGTAAATACATTCCCTTACACACGCATACACATACACATAGACACAATCGCAATAGCACACACATGCCAACTGACACACTCTGGCATTTGTTGGCTCTGGCAAGATGCTATCAGGACTTGGGGACATGGCATAGCCTGCACAGGACGCGTCGCTTTGTTCCACGTCAATTGGCTGACCGCTCCCAGCCCCTTTCGAGTTCACCCAAACTAGTAGGGGTTTTAGGTAGCGGAGAGCGTTAGCAGCCGTTAAGAAATCACATAAAATATTGCTAATATAATCCTTTATAGTTAATTCGACAGGACGATAGCGTGGAAAAGGGTTCTGTTGTTATTGCTGTTCTTGCTGTTGTTATTTTTTGCTGCCATTGTTATTATTGTTGTTGGCTTGGCTTTGTGCGCACTTTTAAAACGTTGACATTTTTTTTCGTTTGCATGTTTGTTGGGTCAAAGGGAGATCTGAATGGATAGGACTGTGTTAACAGTTGGCAGCAAAGGACACGGCGTTAATCTTGGCCGCATTTGACAGGATAAATGTATTGTGAATTTAGTGGCTCAGCTTGACTCTGGTGTTTATTATGCCCATAGTTAGGGCAATTGATAATCGAATGCGTTCAAGTATAAATCAGGTAAATTATCTAACTCTTTACTACTGTGTTGAATATTTAAGTAGCACACTATTTGAGAGTTTGTATTGAAAGATAATAATTTATCAACAATTTTTATTCTGAAAATAATTATTTAATCATAATGATTTTATGAGTACTGCTTTTATTTACCAGCCACATTATTTACAGAATATGCGGAATGAGATTTAAATAGATTTAGCTTTTTCCGAAATAACAACAAGGAATTTTTATAAATCTTATACAAATTTGGAATTATCTTTTTATTTCAGTAAACATAATTTGAATTTTTTCACTATTGTTAAGAAGGCAACAGTCATCCGCAAATGCTCTTACTTCGATTTTAAGTTTTCAAAAGACACACAAAAGAAAAGAAGACAGCACAAAAGTGGCATTTAGACTGCAATTGAACTTGCCTAAAATGAAGCTAAATGCATTAGGGGAGGGCCACAACAGGGCAAGTGGCAGCCAACATGGGGGCAATAACAGAAATGCGCGACGTTTTCTTCAAACTGTCAAACTGATGCAATTGCTGTTTGCAACTAGCGGCAATTTGTGGCAACTGCTGCGGGCCACAACTTCTAGACAGACTTTTTGATGGCTCACTTTATCTGCCTGTTTTTCGAGACAAGTATAAAATTTTGTGTGCACAGGTGAAAGAGCCAAAGGTCGTTTTATTTTTTTGGCTAGCTGCCCAATATACCAAATATATATATATATTGCGCATACGCCGCATGGTTCAATGCAGTTACAAATAATTTTATTTGCAATTTCGTCGCTCGCTCTGTCTCACTCACTCTCTATTTCTGGCTCGCTTAATCAGCTGAAGTGCCCGCCACAGGCCAAATAAAAGGAGAGAATGAAGAAGAAAATAAAAAGAAAAGATATTTAGAAGACCATTGCCCCATTCTCAGAGCATTCGCTCAGCGCAATATTGATGTATGAAATTTCATGAAATTTTATGAAATTTATGCGATGGTCGCCACACGAGTTGTGTGCATAAAATAGACGGCACATCTTTCGCACATTTCATAGCGCACACAGCCAAAGGGGGTGGGGGGGTTGGTGGGTGTTGGAATTGTGGATACTGTGGATAACTGGCCGCGTCGCATTGCAGATGAAACCATTTTTGAAGGCAACGACTGCGAGGCGACTCCCGAATGGCGCGTGAGCAAATTAATTTTCATCGCTCAAAAAAAAAAAAACATAAAAATATGTAGTTAGAGAGCATTTGTCAGGGGTGCATGACTAAGAGAAACTCTATATAAATTTGAGAAAATTTAAAATTATGGACACGAACATATCATATATGCATTGATTTTCGGTTGATTCTGGCAATTGTAACTTTTTATTCAGAAGACAAATTTGTATATATATGTATATAAGCATGTGTGACTTGCTCAGCCATACTCACAACTGTCAATAGATAAATAAATATAGTTTATTATTTAATCATGTAGTCAAAAAAATGAAATGTGCAAATATGCATTCAACTGTTGCCATAGTAAATTATGGGCTTCCGTTTTCTGCAAATATCGCCAAACCGTTTTCGACATATTTGCAGGGTGTAGGAGCACACACACTCTGAAAGTATAGTCAGTGGAGAAATGGGTGCATGGCGTAAATGATATGGCGGACAGTAGAGCTCTTAGCTGGAGTCCCAGCCCGGAGGCCGGTTCCTGTGCCGCATCCCGTTCGCTGAGGCCAAAACCCGCACGGGTTTCGTCTCTCTCAATGAATTATGAATTCGTTTTGTGTGCAGCAAAACTTTTTTCAGCCATTTCCTGCGCCTTCCGATGTTTTTTTTTTTTGTATATTTTTTTGTTATTTTTTGGTTTTGTCTCTCCCTCTTAAGTTAGTGGCTCGTTTTTATTTTGCGGCTGGCAAGAATTATGTGCCAAATGTTCTTAGCCATGTTTTGGCTTTGGCTTTACTGCTGTTGTTGTTGCTTTTGGCATATTTTAGAGAACTGGCGACAGTGCCGGAAAATTAATATTTGTTCAAGTGGATTTTTTGGCTGTTTTTTTTTTACTTTTTGTAGCTAGGAAAAAAAAAAGTTGATGACAAACTGCGCGAAATTCGTTCGCTTTATTCGCTGTCATTTATCCTGAAGTTTTTAAGTTGTTTTTTGCATGCGACAAGAGTTTAGCGGGTATTACGTGGAACTCAGTCGGCAGAGTTAAGTGCGAGATAACTGTGAAAAATAGAGCAACTAATTTGAGTTCTTTTTTTTTCTTGGGACATTTAAGGCTATAAAGAGATTATCATAAGGGTTTAAAAGAGCATGACTAAACTTAAAAATATAAAAAGTAAATATATGGAAAGTTAGATAAAATTATCAATATATTTATGAATATACATATGCCAATGTGTTTCAACAAAATTTGCATGAATTTCATACATGTTTGCACAAACAAATTGAATGAACTCATTTATGAGTCGCAAATTGATTTTCATGCAAAATATTTGCATAAAACTTTGTGACAGCCAATCGGCTTGCATAACAATTTCAACTCTTTTTTCCCAACGTACTTCTCTAACTGTCAGGCTATTTAAGTCTAAGCATTTAGCATATTACATTGTCAGCACGAAGAAGTTCACAATTGGCAGTGCTGGAAAAACTTTCAATTCCGACTGCAACTGACAGTTTACATTTTAACAATATCAAGCTAGCTTTCTGTCTCTCTCTCTCTCTCTTTCTATTTCCCTCTCTGTCTCGCTTTTTCTCTTTTCAACTAAATCCAAACCTTTTGCTCCTTGTGATATTGCAAATATTGAAAAAACGTACTTGGACAAAACTGTTCGCTATTCAAAAACAATTGACAGTTGCTGGACTTTTTAGTTTGCTCAGCAACCCTCTGCAGCTCGTAAAGAAGTCCTGTAACCCCCTTTCACTCCCGTACGTCGGTAATTGCAACTGCTCCGCTTATGGCATTGTTTTCGGGTTTCTTATGCAAAACTTGTGTAGAAAATGTAACAACTTTTGATAGTCAATATGCATAAGCCTCATGCTCGGTCTGAGTTCAAGTGTCCTGCCACGACAGCTCTTGCCCATAAAAGCCTAGCACACGTCCATCAACATCCCAACATATAACACGTTCCCCCACCGAAAGGCAATTTAGAAAGTTTAGCATTTGCATTTGTTATACGCTTTTGCATTGCCTGCAGCTGCTGCCATTTTGTCATTTGCTTACACAAAAACATACAAACAAATACATAAACATATATGCAGACATGCACTTGTGTATTTATCGTTTTGCATACGCATTATTTATGAGATCCGTATGCAGCATTAAGTGGACCTCTTGGCTGACCAGCCTGTCAAACATGGACAGGACAGGACTCTGCCCATCCAACGTCCCCTTATTCCTGTAGAGCGGTTAGCGATTAGCATGCAAAATGTCTGGGTTTATTGTTTTAGCAAAACTAATTAGTTTGATCAGAAATTGAAACTCAAAAGACGCATCCATTTCCCTATTTGGCCATTCCAACTGAATTTGAATTTGATTTGCAGACTCCTTGCTTGATTTGGTCTCAAAATGTACCAAATTTAAACTGTTATGAACTGCAGTGGGCTTCCTAATTCTGAAATAGATAATGATCAAAGATATGAGACTATGGCACATAATTAGTAAGTTATTAAGCATTGATTAATGTAGCTTAATAGCTTTTGTGTGTCAAAAATAGCTTTCAAGCATAATTATTTCTGAAGCATACACAAAAGGATAGATTAATGGGATATGTTTGTAGTTTAATGTATCATATTTAGTGTATGTAGGATTAATATTATATTTAAGAGGTGGAAATCAAATAATAATAAATATACTTATATAATGTAATTTGCAATTAGCCAATAAGTAAATTTCTTAATAATTGCGAATTAATCTGAACTCTTTGTCTCTCTATCTTTTCTCCCTTACACAGGCCGTCTTGCCACCGCAATAAGAAGGAACCGCAACAATAGCAAAGAGCTACTAAGCACTGCCATCTAAAAAAAAACTGCATCAAACTGCGATTGAATTCAGAAAATATAATTGCAGCCAAGCAAGAAGAACAAGTAACAATTATATTGCGCAATATATAAAAAATATACATAAAAACATAGCATATAAATAAATATGTGTGTATATACATTTAACTAGACAAAAGAAATTTTACAAAACAGACAAAACAGTGGAACAGCGGAGAAAGTATTTTCCTGCGAAGAACAAATTATATAAAATAATAATTTACAAGGCTCCCAAGCTCGCACATGGACAAGAAAATGCACCAAACCCGAAGCTGAAGTGAAAAACTTAAACTATAAGAAGAAAAAAAAAACAAAAAAAACAAAATACACACACACACTCTTTGGGTTGTAAAGACAAACAAAGAAAGTAAAGTTGATAAGAAAGCAGAAAACATAAAAATAATATTGCAGCTAAAGGCAAACAATAAAACGTATACTCGCCATATTGAAAAATACAAATAAAAGCAAAAAACAAGTTGAGCATTTTTGTAAAATTAAGAGGTATTAAGCTAAGTTGCAGCAGCAACAACAACACACAACAAAAAACAAAACAAAACAAAAAACAAAACCAACTTGAAGTAGAGACAATGCAAGCCACAAAAAGGGAAATTAGAAAAAGAAATTGCAAGCAGTAACAGGAAAAAAGGAGGAAAAAGGACTAAAACAAATATACGCAACGTCAACAGCAAACACCGAAAGAGACTATGAAAAATGCGCAACTGAAGCTGAGTGAAGTTGATGATGATGAGCTGTGGCTGCAACAGCAACAGCAACGGCAACAGCAGCAACAAGCAGAGCTACATCAGCGGCAGCAACTAGCTTTTAGATTAGCACACAACAGCAACAAACTTACCCAACAGCAACTAAAGAGCTTAAGTACAATACACCAAAGCAACAACAGCACAGTAGCAGCAGAAAGAGCAATAGCCATACAGCATGTAGTCAGCGTTTCCAACGATAGCGCTCAGCAATATGTTGAAAGCGCCTTGCAACAGCAACAGCAACAGCAGCACAAGCAACAGCTAGACAGCAACATGTTGTCAGCCGACAGCAATCAAGCAACAAAAACAAACATAAGACTGTGCGCACGCAAGCGACAAAGATTACGTCGGCGGCGAAAAAGAAAACCAATTGCAGCAAAAGCAGCAGCAACATTTAGCAATAGCAACAGCAATCAAAGCGGCGCAGCAGCAACAACATATTTTTCAGAACGCACCACTGAGAACAACAGCAACAACAGCGTCAAACTATTTAATGGCCTCTGGCCCGTTAGCATTGGCATTGCATTGCAAATGTTGCTGCCGGCACTGAGGCTCTTGCGAATGCAGCAGGAACACCGAGCAGCAACTGTGCTCAGAGCTATTGCTAAAAGCACCACCGCCATCATTTCCTATGCAAAAGCCATTGTGCTGCAGTTATTCCTCAGTTGGAAATGCAACAGCAATAGCAACAGCAACAATAGCAGCAGCAGCAGCAACAGCAGCAATAACAACCACATCAACTGCAGCTGCATCAGGAGCAACCATTTCAACAACGGACTTAAAAAACACTCATGGATATTTTTATTGATATATTTGAATTTATCTGCTGAAGGTAAGTGTATACCTTTGAAAACAATTATCCGATTATGAAAACCCTTCACACGAACAACACTTGAGCGACAACAGCAACCGCTTGTCTGTTGTTGCGAGTGTGGTTGGAATTGTTGTTACCGCAACCACTTGGCAGCAAACTGTTGCCGCACAAGTCGTCGCATTGTTTAGCTGCACGCCAGCAGCACCGGCAGCAGCAGCAACTTCATAATGCACGCCGGCAACATATTGTCACTTTGACACATAAAACCACTCAAGGGTGGGCATATTTTCCTTTCTTTTTCTGTGGGGGCGTGTTTGTTAGTTGTGACATTTACGACAGCTTCAAGTGAAGCATGCCGACAACAACAACAAGCAACAGCAACAGACCCGACCTCAGCCTCAGACACAACCTCATCCGCTGCCGCTTGGCTGTCTATGGCACTTGAAAGCGTCTGCGCCTAGGGCTGCTTTTTTATTTTTTCCTATGTATTTGTTGTAGGTTTTGTAACTGTTGTTGTTTTTGTGTTCAACACTAAAATGTGGGAAGCCGCATAAGGAGAGCGGTTGAGCGGCTACCACCTGATTTAATTGTGCAGACAGTTCAAATCGCTTAAAAGTATGCGAAATATAATCTTAAAGCAATTAAAATTCTCGTAAAGATGTATTAAAAATGAATGAACTTGAATGTCCATTGTCCATCACTAAACACATCATCTAACAAAAGAAGTCTGACGCACAATACTTGCAAAAAGACAATACTGTGATTGTATACAGAAGAAAAATATAAATAAATATCTAAAAAAATTTTGATCGATATCGATTTTGTGATCACCAACTTAAAGAAGACAAAAAAAGAGATCAATCGTTGCGATTATCGTAAAGTTAGCTGACGTGTTTTAGAAATAAATATAATTTAGTTTTGACTGCCACAATAAGTTATAATATATTCAACTTAACATAAACAAAAGTATTATTATTACAAGTATTATTTTTTAAACAAATTGAATATATTACAAATAAAATATTAAGTCATTTTGTAATGACAATTTTAAATAACTATTTGGCCAATCAGTTCGATTTGTTTTTTTGATAGATAGGAAATTTAAAATTTAAAATTTCAATATTATTATTCTCTTGAACCATGTTATGTGAAACTTAACTCCAAAAATATTCATGGCAAAGATATTTCCAGCATATTTTGTACGCATTACAATTTGCCTGCAGGATGCTTATCTATTTTTGGACTTTCTGTGCAATGTGCAGCTTGGGAAAATGCTTGTTATGGATTTTTTAGCAGCTAGCAAATTCTTTGCCATGACAACAATATCTTTAATGCAGCGAGGCGTATTGATGGGGATTGTGATATGTGGTACGTGGTCGGGGTAGGTTATAAATATATTGCTTGAGAGTGCAGCTGACGCCTGCCTGCCTGCCACTTACACATATTGGGGTTATTAATGGGCACATAAGCGCTTAGGTAAAGTAAGTGAGGTGGATGGCAGCAATTGTTGCAAGCTGTAGCCATGTTGATTTTCCAACATCACCCCCCTCTCTCCTCCGGGAGCACAAACCCTTGCACATTCGCGTTGAATAAGTCGTTGGGCTTTGCGTGTCGCGGTTGTTGCCAGCAATGAAAACATATGACCACACTCACATAAACTCATCATCTGTATGTGCTTGTTTATTGGAGTATGTGTGTGTGTGTGTGTGTGTGTGGGAGTGGGGCAACGTCTTTGTCTCTGCAGTCGAAGTTCTCGTTGTTGCCCCCTAGCCCGCCCTCTGTCTGTTGCCCGGTTTGGTCGAGTTCATGTTTCATGCAGTCAACGTTGCTGTTGCTGCTGTCGCTATTCCTGTTACTGTCGCTGTCGCTGTCGGTGTCCATGTGTGCGTGTGTGCGTGTGTGCGTGTGTGCATGTGTGCATGTTTATGATTTTATGGCAGCACTTCCGTTTCCGTTATGCCATATTGTAATACTATATGTGTAAGAGTGTACCCTCCAACCCTGCTGCCTCGCAACGCTGCCAACGATAATCAGATTTAAACTTTGCACAACGTCAACCTCGCTTACATCGCTGCATATGCAGCTATACTTAATGTATGTGCGTTTGTGTGCATATGTGTGTGTGTGTGTGTATGTACAGTTGTGTGTCAGTTGCCCTATGACATCGTTCATACGCCCCGTTGGCCAGCCAAGTGCCCCTGTTATGACGCTTATTGCTACGGAAAGCTTTTTGGCATGCTTCAAGACTTTTTAGACTTTTTGGCCATTTGACTGACGCATAAGGCGACCAAGTTCATTTTAATGCCTCTTGTTTCTTTTTGTCGCTGCTGCCGCTGACTAACGAGCTGCTGAGGCCAAAGCAAACCGAGAGTGAGAGAGAGTGAGAGAGAGAGAGAGAGGAGTGAGAGTAGGGGAAATCGTTAGCTTTTAAAAATATATAAGTTGTGATGGACTTATGGCACATGCATATGCAGTGAAAGGCACAACGAAAAAGAAAAGAGAAAGGAAAGAAGGGCAAGGGTTTTACGTTGAGCTTAATTTAATAATTGAGTTCGGAGTACAGAACAAACTCAAGTGACGTGGAGTGGAAAGTGCTTACTTTGCGGAATCATGTCATAAAATGTATAAAGCTGAAAATTGCGATGCTGACAGTTGAGTAACACTGACACATTTTAAAAGTTTTGCTTTAAATTAAACACCTTTTTGTATGTCTTAATAAAGGCCTTTTTTATTTTGGTTTTATTATTATTTATCTTATTTGCTAATAATTTCTGTATTTTCATGCAGCAAATAATTTGCAATAGCTTCTGCAGCATAAGAATGCAGCATTCTAAGAATAGTATACTGGTTAAATAATGTATGACTTTGGTAAATGATATACACATATTTTCATTTGCAAATATCTTTCTTTTCCATTACCTAACCCACTGCAAATTGCTCGCTGCCTGCCATTGGGCGGGCTTATTCATTTTTCAAGCAAGTGTACGAAACAGCATGCGCTTTTCAAATGCCATTCCGTTTGAGAGCATAGTATCAATCTATATTCGTTTCAGTCCACTCCCTCTAAATGTCATATGCTTTTTGCCATCATTAGCTAAAGGGTTACACAAGAAAGAAAAACAGAATGTCATGCCTGCCATTTGCAATAGTATACACACATGCACACACATTTGTATATATGTATATGTCTACAAAGATATGGGCCCATCGTGCTGCACAAACAAGCTACACACACACACACACACACACACACACACACACACACAGTCACATTCACTCTCAACTGGCGCACAATGATGCTGTGGCAGACGTAACTTTTTTGTGCCTGAAATCAATCATCAAATGTGATAGCATTCATAATTTCAATAGTGGACACAGGCATTTGATTGATGGGCCCCGCCCAGGAATCTGCCAATCTTCGCCCAACACTTTACAGCATATGCTGCCTGCCATACCTCCCCCCGCGCACACACATACAATACGAACATCCCCCATCCCATAACCCTCTGTTGTCTTTCGATTTGTAGCCATTTTTGAGTCTCGTTTCGTCTCAGGTTACGCTCTAAAAAGGAAAAACTCAAAAAAAAAAAAAAACAAAGAGCTCGTCATAAGCAATTAAATACTCTGCTCTTTTGCTAGGTTTATACAATTAGGGTATAATCTGTATTGGTGTTGGGCCATCCTTGGCTAGCTGGTGGAATTTTTATTGCATAAATTAAGCTTTGAATGGTTAAGCGTCACCTTGACGCTATTAAAATGCTCAGCTCTCAGGTTGCTCTCTCTCTTTTTCTCACTTTTTCTCTATCTCGCTCCATCGTTTTCTTTTTTTTTCGTTTTCTCCGAGTCTTTTCATACAAAGCTATTAGCAGGTGGCGTTGCCCCGCTGAGCTGTGTGCCGGTTGCGCCACATGGTTGCTCAGACAGGCCATCAAGACTAACGAGTCGAGCTGTGACCCGGCGGCCCTCCTGCCTCCCTCGCCCTTTCTCTCTCTGTCTGCCCCTCTTGCTTAACCATTTGCTCACTCCTTTTGTATCGGTTTTTAGCAGCTTAAGTGGTTTGGCGCCGCGTCAGTTTTCATTTCGCTTTCAATTTTTAATATCGACGGACAGCACGAGTGCCAAATGGCAAAACTGCTTACTCTCTCTCCCTCACTTTTTGTATAGTGACTTGAGGTGGGCTCCCTTAACTAAGTGATTACATTTGTAGATAGTCCAGCTTTTAGTATTAGGCATAACATTTGTATCATACAAATTTGAGTATATAAATTAGTTTGAATTATTGTTGTTAAAGTTTATTACATCGAATGTTTTTCTATTTTTATTTTCCACATCGAAATTTAAGAAATGTTTTTAAAATTAATTTGAATTTGATAAAAGTCAACAATATATTTCAATGATATTAACAGAATTTGATTTGAAGAATTCAACTAAAAGCCTAAGTGCAAAAGTGGTATTTTTCTAAATAATCCAACTTTTTAACCAACATTAACATTATAATGATTTTACAATAATATTAGTTATTTAATCTATCATTTAATAAGTATTTTTTTATACGTTTTGTATAAGCAAGAGTATTACATGAGCGTCTTTCCAAATCTTGTTTTATTTATTTACATTTCCTTTTTGGCGGTTGGGTGTTGTTGTTGTTTTGGCTATTATTGCCGTTTGTTGTAGGCGGCTGCATTTTGTAACCATTTTTGTTGTGTTTTATTTTGTGTTGTTGTGCACATTAAATTGGCTTGTGCTTTGTGGCCGTGAGCTAGGCAACTGACTTGGGCTCATCCTTAGTCCCCGTTTGGTCTGCTGGCCAACCGCGCAGCTGTTGCAGCATTTCTTTTGTTGTTTTTGTGCGACTTCGGTGGCTTTGTGAAATAGCAATTACTTTTTCATGCTTCACTGCAATAAAATTGCAATTTTATGCGGCCTGCCGCCAAACAAGCGAAGCAAAAACACCAACAAACAACAAAACGAGGAGCCGTAAGAGACCAAGTCGCCGAACGAAAGTGCAGCTATTGAAAAGGCATTTCAAAATGGCCACAATTTATGGTGGCAACTGCCTGGGCAGACAGTCGCTGCCAAAAGTTAAGGCCACAACATAGGCCATGACTAGAGCATTTAACTGTCGCTGTCATGTGAGTCCTTAATGGTTGTGAATAGAGTCTAGTAAATATATTTATATAGCTAGAAATGAGTCAATCAAAGTTGTGGAGGTTTCAATTTCAATTGCACTTGTCTTAAATTTAAACTCGTATGGGATTTATGTAGCGATTTAATGAATTGTACTAAAATTGCATTTGAATTTTTAATTTATATTTGAACAATATGGATTTATTACGCTGATATGTTCCAAAACTTTTTAAGGCTCATATGAATAGCAAGTAACGTTCAAATTGTCGTAGAACTTCATTTCCTTTGCTCAAGTATTGATTTAAGATATTCCAAATCTTAACCATTCAATTATTAGCTCTCGTAAGCTGTGTCTCCCGTAGAGAGTGCTTGTCAATTGTAGTTTGGTATTTTATTTTGGATAAAGTCCTCTTTGCTTGACCTGCTCGTCTTTGCTTGAAATTAAAGTAAAAAATAATTTAATCCAAGCGTTCGCCTGCATATTCATTAGTTTTACTTCCTGTTGAGAGCTCGAAAATGTATTTTGTGTCTTCTTCGTTTTTTGCCGGCTCCAAAACAATGCAAATAAAAAATGTAACAAACAAGAGTCTCAGCCGTAAAAGTATATTTTAAATATACAATGCACTTTCATCCTGTTGCTCGACTCTGTTGCCCTCTCTCCCTTTTTCCCTCTTCTAGCCTCCATCTCTTTTGCGTAGCTTGTTCTATTTGTTTTATTATTACATTCATTTTGACACTTCATCAGACGTTGGCCCTGTTTTTTTTTCCTACTGCTGCTCCTGTTTGCTTTGTGCTCTGATGTCAATGCTTTGCCTTAAAGGCTTAGCAGCCATGCCCCAGCACCCCAGCACCCCTCCCCCAACTGCCCACCTCCTCCTTCATTGTCAGCCAGCTGTGCTCGTTAGCTGCGACGCTTGCGGGCGCTGCATTTTGTTTAAGAATTTTTAATTTTAAATGCAACGCAAACGCGCAAAAAAATGAGAAAGAAATGAAATATGCAAACGTGCTAGAAAGTGAAATAAAAGAATTTTCCCCCTTTTCCACAGCAGGGGCACACTCTGCGAGCTGCCTGGCAAAAGACTAAAGGCGAATTAAAATTAACAACAAAAAAAAAAAGGGCGAATTTATGTGCATAATTTTTGAGGTGTTCATTTTGTATGTAAATCTTGTGCTATTACATTTAAATGGTGTGTGCTAAGAATATGAATTTAATATTTTTTAGAGGAACTCAAAGTGGTGTGCATAGTTTTCAATATAAATATTTATATATCTAAATATGAACATTTTATTGAAAATGATGAAGAGAACTTTGTTCAATTTAGATATAAATAATGAAATTTGTCCCTTAATTTCATTTTCTATTGAGGTAATCATCACCATTTTATTTAAGCATTTAATATTACCATTATTTTATATTCTTTAAGAGCTGAAGCAACACATACCAAACTATAAGATAATAAATATTTCTCTAGAGCACTTCATTATTTTTCGTATACATTAAAAAACTCAAACCCAAGCCGGCAACTCTATTTAATGACCACTTTACTCGTAGTTAAAAACGTTCTGATTTCGAAACTGCATCATAATCAAGAGCTGCAGCTACTGAGCCCTCTCAGCAATGTGCACCGTAATCAATATGCCATTATCAAACTTCAGATTAACTACTCAACCAGCTCACGAAAATCCAGCAGACTGCATATTAAGACTCCCTCTCTCTCTATTTTCCCTTAAACCCAGACACACACTCATACTGACAAGCGCCACAAGTGGCAATCATTAAAAATAAATTCTGCAGCAATCGCTGCCTCAATTTTCGCTGCAATTTTTCATGGCACCATTGCAGCTGCACTTGCCTCATTCCACAAATGCTCGACACTGAATGCTACTTAGTGCCACAAATTCCCAATGTGTGTCAAAGAAAAAAAAAAATGTGAAGAAGGAAACTTCAGATCGCAAACTGCAAAGAACTCTTAAGAAATTATCAAATTGGATGTAGGGAAAAGGGAAAGACAGAGAGAGAGAGAGAGAGAGAGAGGATTAAGGGCTGAACTACATGCCTCCTCTGTGTCATTTCTCGTTTTCCTGTTCGCTTTCTGTTGCATGCATAAATAATTCGACGATAACGACGGCAGACAAATAACGAGGCGTATGAGTGTTTTTTTCTCGCCCTCTATTCGTGAGTCTGTAATTGTGTGTGTAGGTTCAGGTGTGTGCGTGTGTGTTTCGGAGCCAATTTATTATCGCCAAGAAAGCGAACAGTCGTTCAAGCAGCCGAGCAGGCAGGCAGGCTGGCGGGCAAGCAAGAAAATTTGTATGTTAAAAACTTTTGGCTCAATAAAAGTTTGCCTTTGTTATGCACAAGCCAGAACAATAGGGAGACAGTTGGGGCAGCAAGAGAAGACTGAGACATATGGTGAACAAAAAGCGCAAAAAGTTTCCCTGCGCAGCCCGTATGCTTGCCAAATAGTAGTAACGGGAAGGGAGGGAGGACCAGGAGCAGAATCAGTTGGACAAGTTGCAAACCAAACCAAAAACTCGTAAACTTTTGCATATCAATAAATTTCAGTAGCTAGTCATCCCTTGGCCCCCTTCTCCGTATTCTCCGTGCTTGCCGTCTCTTGTTCCATTTGCCGCACGAATTATTGATGTTGATTTGCGGTGCTTTTGTGAAATGGCAAGCACTTGCAGCTATATAACCTTTGCCCCCATATCTATTGCGCACAACTTACCCCGCCCCTCCATGCACACAGCCCGCCCTTATCAACATTGTTGAATCATTGTAAGTGCTGCATTCGAAACTTGTGTGGAAACTAATTTTCATCTTTTATCTAATACATTTCTTGTTTTTCTTTCCATTGCAGTTTGCTTAGCAGGATATCATGAAAAGAGACTGTTACATGATCTATTGGATCCTTATAATACACTAGAACGTCCGGTTCTCAACGAATCGGACCCGTTACAATTAAGCTTTGGTTTAACATTAATGCAAATTATCGATGTGGTAAGTACAACACAACATTTCCTCTTCTAAAATTCTTATTAAATGTTATGAAAACTATCATGTAATAATAAAATACTATAATGAAATAGGAATCCAGTTCACAAAAGTTGTCAGAATTTGCTTTAGAAGCATCGGTTTTATATTGGTATATTGGTATCCTAAGAGTATCGCATTCATTGGAATTACAAATTTAATTCCCATGGCCAATCTGCATTTATTTTTGCAGTGGATGCGATTATAAATTCAACTTAAAGTGAAAGTTTGCCGTAAAAAATGTAAACGAAGGTGACAAAAACTGATGACACCATTTCTGTGCGACGTGCATGAAAAGTGAATTGCCAAGAAAGTGAAATTTTAATTATTTGCTTATGTGTCTGTGTGTGTGTGTGTGTGTGGATGGATGTGTGTGTGTGTGTTCCCTGAATGACAGCTTGGCTTGAGTTCTCTTCTGGCTGCCTGGCCTGGATGTAGACAGGACGCACACATCCTGCCAGCCCGACTGCCAGGCGACTGTCGAGCAAATTACATGCAACGTCATGTGGCGTGTGGCATTTGCCTCATTCGCACCTTTTGCAAAATAGTGGGCGGGTTAGCAGTAACAGGGACCGAGCATATGTGGAATTGCATGTTGCATTCATTGGGGCAAAGTTTTTGTTGCGTTGAGGGCAGCAAAAGGTGGATACATTTGTACATATATCAGAGTTAGAGCGAAGCGTTTGCTTTTGTTAGTGGGACAACCTCAATTCATATTAGATTTCTATGTGTGTGTGCGTGAGTATCTGTGTGTGTGTGTGTGTGTATGTGAGCATGTGTGTGCAACTGTGTGTGGATGAGTTGTTTGTTGCCTGTCCGCTTGCCAGCCTACCAGGCTCGAGTCCCGTGCAAAGTTGGGATTCAACTAAAAATGGAGCGCTCAAACAAAAGAAACTGCGCCTGAAAGCCTGAAAGTCCGTCAAAGGAGTGGGCCCCGGGAAGAGTGGTGGTTGTGGGGAGCATGGAATTGAGGCAGAGTGGTAGTATATTTGTTGCTCTGGGCATTAAACAGGCCTAGGACTGCGCATTCACTGGCGCGCGCTAAAAGTCGCACACTGCACAAAATGCTGCAAAGCTTTCACAATACACTCACAAATACACTCACACGCATGTGGCATGCAAATAAAAATGAATAAATAAAATTTGCACATGTGTTGTTCACACCTGCCCGCTAAAACACACATAAAAGTGCGAGCAGCGAGAGTTGTGTGCTCCAAGTTGTTGTTAGTGCTGTTGTTGTGATTGTTGTTGCTGCTGCTGTTGCTGCTGCTGCTGCTGCTCCTGCTGCTGCAAAATGAAGTAGAAAACGAATGCGGTACAATGCTTTGGCCAGTCCTTTTTGCTATACCCTGTAGCCATTACTTGGAAGGGGTTTCATAAAGTTAGACAAGAAGACACCATAAAGTATCGATGTATGGTTGTCTGTCCCACTTAAAGCAGGATGAAATCTACATAAATTTAGAAATACCAATTAAATCAAATGAGCTACTAGCTTATAAGCGTATTTCCGTATTTATGATCATATCTGGAACAGGATCTTCATTTATAAGAGTGATATGGAACAGAATTTACGTATTTAAGAGTGATACTACAAATTTGGCATGAAGGCTCTTATAAAGCGTATACAGAGATAGATATGGCTGATATGTATATATTAGATATTACAAAACAAATTGAGAGACTATTTTCAATGCAATACTTCTCACAAAACTTATTTAACAATCTATTTTTCATAGTCTGGAGTAGAGGGGAAAAGTATTTTAGCTTTTTTTGGTATGTTAGAACCGAGTACAGGGTATCTTCTGCTGAGGCACTCTCGAGTTCAGCACTCTTACTCGATTGTTAGTTGTTGTTGTTGCTAATTTTGTTGCTGTTGCGCAAAAATTGCTGGCAGTAAAAACTGCAGCACGCACACTCGAAACGCAGCAGTAACAACAACACCAGCAGCACCACCAACAACAGCAATTACAGTCTGGTGCTGTGCAAGGCATAAAAATGCGAAAATCGGGTCATTTTGTTATAGTAGAGCTGGTTGGGGTGTTAACGCTGCCATCAGTTACCCTGTAAAGCTACATGGAGTGAGGCAGGTTAGGGGAGTGCAGCGGGATTTGTTGCTGTTGTTGTTGTTGTTGCTTCTTGCTGCTGCTGTTGGCTCAATCGTAAAGTTTATGTGGTGTGCAAAGTGTCAGCTCGTCATCTCAAAGTATGTGGCTGACTGGATAAGATGGTTGGATGTAGGAGGGAACTCTTCTTAAAAAAGTTTTTATTTAAGCAATAAGTTGCGAATTGCTTAGATGTGGCACAGTGCATGTAAATACCTTCGCTTATGTGACCACAATTAAAGCAAGCAATCAATGTGGCAAGTTCTTAAGTGCTGCCATAAGCGATTTGATCATTAACATTTCGAACACAGCATGTGATTCTTGAATCACCAGGTGGTCAAAGTCAAAGCAATGACAATTGTTATAAGCCATTTTGGGTAAGGATGAGTGGCTCCTATTATAAAGCTAAGCTCTTAATATTAGAGACAGTTGAGAAATACATAATATATATAAAATATATTGGTATTTTATTTTGATTCAACTATCGAGAAATATGTAGTTATTTATTTTGAGTTTAGAGAGAAGAAAATATATTTATAAATATGCAGTTGATTTGAACTTATAATAACATCTTTACACCCACACACCAATAGTTCAAACTTTGCAATTTCCACTCGAAGAAAATAGTATTTTCTAATTTTCCCATTTCTGTTCTCTCGCACTCTATCCGACCAGGTCTTTTTCCAACTGAGCTGCCAATGCCATTACGTTGCCCCCAGAGATATTGAGGCATTTGACACTCGCAATATTTTAACTGTTAACTACACTTGCAGCTGCATTTGCATATTTTATGTGCACGCTACTCTGATGCTAAGGGGTTACGGGGTTGAGTGTGGGGTGTAGGGGCGTAGGGGCGTAGCTACTGGTCTCCAAGCAATTTTAAGATTTAACACCTGACAGCTGCCGCTGCCGCTGCCGCTCCTGCTGCTGCAACTTCTGCTGTTGGCAGCTCTGGGCTGTGAGGGCATGGGAAGGCCAATGCAGTTGCTGGCAAAGGCCAAGCATCACTGTCCCAAGAGCAGCTTCAATTCAAAGCAGTTTCAAAGAGAGAATAGAGAATGAGAGAGAGAGAGGGGGAAAACTGTTTGTGTGAGTGAGTGTGTAAAGCACCATAAATTCAACTGTTTATCAGCAAGACAGTCAACGCGTCTTATCTGTCAAGTTGCCAAGTGATTAAGCTTTAAGGATGTCAGCGCACGACTTTTAAGCGAGCGTGCCAAACAATTGATTATGCTCTTAGCTGGAGGTCCTCGATGCGTATCTAACGCTAGACAATGATTATTCTATGATATGCATTTTAATCGTTGGTGATTTATATAAGTATCTCGTGGCAGCAACCAGAAGCATATGCCATAATTGCGCCCGTGGGAGGTCAACTGTAAAAGGACATGAGTATGCGGCAAAAACGAAATACAGCAGCAAAACAAAACATAACGCAAGGCAAGCAATCCCACATATCTCTCTCTCTCTCTCTTTCAATCTCTGTCTCGCTCTTTCTCTCTGTTTGTGTGTTTATCTCACAATGTGTGTGCGGCACAGCTGAAAATTGCATTTGAATAAGTCACAATTTATGCGTCACATTGTGCTACAAATGCATCTCTATATGCACACTAGAGTTGAGAGTTTTTCATGCTTTCGTGCGTGACACGAACTACTTACTCGACAATAAAGAAAATAGAATAATAGAAAATATTAGTTTTATTTTTATTTTTTTTGCTATACTTTTCTGAAGTCTTTGCTTTCACCTGAAAGCCAGGATTGACATACTTTAAAAGAGAACTGTTAAATATAAGTATGTTTTTCAGTAAAAAATTGAAAATCTCAAAAAATCACAAAATTATTTTCGATCTCATATTGTGAAAACAAAATGGAAAACAAACAAAAATATTTATTTAGATACAACATGTTAGTGTGATGTGTCACTTATCCGCAATTTGAGTCTGTTATTCGTGTTGTATCGCAAAAAATCAGACACGCGTTCATATCTAATCAACACACACACACACACACACACACATACATTCACTTATACAAACGCCTAACGAGCTGTGCAAACAATGCAGATGTAGGGAACGTCGCCGTTGCCCTGAAAAGTATGCTATGTATTTATGCTGCACACCTTTGTTTACCTGTTTCTCAAATTAGAATGTTATCACGTTGCAGTTTTGCTTATAGCTGGCTTCTGGTTCCTGCTTGTATTCCTGCCTCTATTCCAGCCATTATTCGACCCTGCCCCTTCTCCTTTCATGTCCATTTGCAATGTTCGCCTAATTCCAAACTGCCGTCAATTCTGTCTTCGTTTTCGTTCCGTGGCTCAAAAGGGCCACCAGATGCTTTTCTAAGCGCTCACTGCATGCATTTCATCAACTTAAACAGGACACCTCAAACACACACACACACACACGCACACACACAGGCATCTAGACACGCACATGCTTGGCATAGTTTGCAGCATTTTCAATGCATGTGGCTTGGGTTTCGTTCATTCGGTTCGTCGGAAGCTTCAGCAGCTCTTTCTCCTGCTGCAGTCACTTTCCCTTTGATTGATGTTCTTGCATGTGCGAATGACTGCAACTCGAGTGCTCCTGTATATATACATGTTTATATCTCTATGTGTGTGTGCTTAGGTCCTCGCGCTTTCAAAGGTAAAAACTTGTTAAATGAGCACACATATACAGGACAACTGTTGGCCTGTCCAGAGCATTGCTCAATATCCTATGCAAGTCTTGTTTTTTATTTTTATGTGTATTTCTGTGCACCGAAATGGGAACAGCACTTCGACAACAAATGATACAACTTCACCTAAAATGGCATACCGTTTGGAAGGCTTAAAATGATCTCAGCACTGCGTATGCGAAATGCTTTTTTAAGCATCCATGGAAATGGGAGCCTATGAAAAAAACCATAATCTTAAGATTCTATTGAAAAACTGTATTCATTTAGTAAGTTATATGGGAAAGATGTTCAAGACAGAAGTTTCTACAAAACTACTTAAAACTTGATAAATAACTTATCCATTCAATTTGTCATTTCTTTGCTCAGAATTTAAAATTTTAATTGATCACGAATAAACTCTGGGTTCATTATTTGTGGCATCGTTAATGGTTTTATTTTCCGCTGATTTACTTGAAATGCTTGTCACGAGGCAAACAAGAAGTATTAGTGGAAGAATAAGATATATAGTTTAGCAGCAAATCCTGCCAACAAATGGCTGTAATTGTCATTAAAGTCATTTCAATTCTATCTCGCTGGATGCTTGGCCCCGAATTGATGGGCCTTATGGGCCACAATGGCATTTTGGTTTAGTAGCTAAGCCAGTGGCGCTGGCTGAACATTACGTAAGCACTTCAGAATGGAAGTCAAGTTGTCGAAAGTCCTTGAAAAACAAACCAGTGACAAGCTTGCTTGCCTGCTTGTATGTGTGTGTGTGTGTGTGCGTGTGTGTGTTTGTCTGATGATAAAAGCGCAATTTAATTAACTGAACGCGAGCGATGCGCGGTATCAGATACAAACACAAATACAGATACAGATACATCGCGCTTTGCATTGCCTTTTGTCTTTGGCCTCGCTCGATATCGAGTTAATAGCGAGTATGTATATAAATTGTATATGTATATTTTATACACACATACATAAACATATGTATAGGTATATGTTTAATATGTGTGCCTCCTTGCAAATATTTGCCGGCAGCTGTCATTTTGATAATGGAGTTTCAAATGTTTGCTATTCATGCTCATAAACACATGTTGGTAAGCCTCTGTGCCATGAGCCTAATCCAGGCATCCCTTCCCCTCACTCCGCCTCTTCGAATTCTCGTTTTCTTGCCCTGCTCTTTTGCTTTCCACTAGGCAACAATGTTTGCCTTCGATGAGAGCGGCCCTATAGCCACAGCCAACCCACACAACAGACCTACACGCACGCACACATCAGCACACACACACTCGCTTATTGTTACCCTTAAAATATGCAAAGGGGCCACGCCTCTTCCAACCGCCCACATTTTGATTTAATTGCATTTTGAAAGCGCAAGTAGCACGCAGCCAAACTTCTCTCGTTCTCATATCTGCAATGAAGTCAATTAATTCTCTCCACTAAAAACACTCAATAGTTTCTTAATTAAGTGAAAAATTCATCTCGATCTTCAGCTTGAAACTATTTGTCGACTTAAAAAATGTAAATAGTTCTTGTGCAAGAGTTTGTTCCAGTCAAAAAATATATTTTCTTTATTGTTAAGCAAAGTGGTTAATTTATGAAAACTTAATACTTAATATATATAAATATATATCTATCCAAAATATTCCGAAACTTTTTTATCGATGGATTATTTTAAGTAAATTAATTATATTTAATAATTCTTTCCTTTAATATCTGCATACAATATTTTCTATAATTTTCTATATTGTGAGATAGAAATTTCATACCAAAAAAATATTGAAAGATAAGATAAACATATTACTTTGCCCTTGTCAACAATAATCAACTCCTCTCAGAAATTAATGGGTATTTAAGCAATTTTCCATTCAATTTGAGTTATAAAATAGAGGAAATGAGAATAACTAAATAAATACATTTTGGAAACTGCGGTAATCACAGAATGACAAATGAAAGACAATAATGAAAATCCATTCAAAAAAGAGCAGAAGATTTCACGAAGAATATAAAAAGCTGCAGAGTGCCAGAAAAAAGAAGACAGCTCCCTGGCGCATTAATTAAAAGGCGCAGACAAAGCGCCCCGCAGATTAATTGGCGTCAATGACCAGCAGACAAACAGAAAGTGCAAGCAAGTGTGAGAGAGCGAGAGATAAGGCGAGTAAATGACAAGGACGAAAAGTGATTAAATAGACAGCGTCAATGGAGCAGGAGCAGGCCAGTCAACAAAAGGGACCAGCGTGGCATATCAACGGATATCAGCGAAAATGAGTAATGAACTCGAGTAAGGAGCAAGCAGCAAGCAGCAAGTAGCAAGGAGTGAAATTTTGCTCCCTTTTTTTTAGTGCTCAGAATAATAAGAAACTAGGCCTGCTTGCGTGGGAAATGTGGGGAATGCGCCACTTTTTCTGCTACACTTTTTTATTTTTTTGTTGCTTTTTAATTCCCCGAACGCGCCGCATGTCAATGAACTGCTGCAGTTGAAGTGTGCGTTAGCTTAAATATGTGTGTGCGTGTGTGGGGAATATATGCAAATTATACGCCTGCCGAAAACTTGTCTTTGGGCAGCGGGTGGCGCCGCCCTGGCAACGCCAAGTTGCCTGTAATAATTTTGCCGTTTGCTGTTTTATTTTTTTCTTTTGCTGCTCATTTAAAATTCAACAACTGCCGCTTCTGCTTTTTCCATACAGAAATAGTAGGAATCAGACACCGGCGGAGATATGTAGAGAGTGATAGAGAGACAGAGAGAGAGAGAGAGAGAGAGGGAGGGAGAGAGAGAGAGAGTGCGAATGTTTTATACACGCTCGTACTTTCTGAATTGGAATAAGCCTCGTTTATGTTACGTCTGTTGCTCAGTGCGCGACTCCATTACACAAAAACACCATCAACCCATTTGCCTCGCTTATTCTGGCTGCTGCTGTTTGCATGCATGCAGCAGCAACAACTTTAATAGCAACCACATCGACTGCAGGAGGCCACCGAAGGCGACGACAAATACGCGCCACAAATTCTGTGGCTACCATTTTTGCATTCGTCTGACTCTACTTTTTTCTCTCTTCGCACACGAAATCTTTCTGCCACGCCCACGTTTTTATTTTAATTAAACTTGAATCAGTCTTTTTTATTTCACTCTTTTTTGTTGGTTTCTCTGCATTCAGCTTTATAATTGTGTTGAAGTTTTGCCGCAACTGCAAATGAATATGTGCATGGAAATACGATTTAAATTAGAGAGGGGTGCTCTGGTAGAGTTGGTGGTTGCGGTTAGGGACCAATGCACAGATAGTTAGGTCAGTTGCTTTGTAAAAAAAAAAAGAATACAGAAGAGCGAGCCGTTAATGAAGCAAACATTTGAATTTGCATTAAAACTTCTTTCAATTCCGTGATTTCATATCGAGGGCCTTTTCGAACATCTCCTAGGTAGGTATTTTTTTAATATATTTTTTTACTTAAACGATAAATAGGAACGCTTAACTCGACAATGAATAGAAAACTAATTGACTTTGGTTAGCTCTTCAGTTATAAAGTGGAATACTGGCAAAGCACTTCAGTAATCCCTATAAGAGTTTGCACTAAATACCGCAAAATTGCGCGACTGCAACAATCTGCCAAATTGGTTAACCATAAAGCCAATTATGCGACTTTCGCGCGCACCGCCCCTGCCGTAATAACCCACCATCCGTAACGCACAAAAACCAATTTTCCGTAGTAATTTGTAGAAAAACGAATTTGATTAGGTTGAAGCTGGACATACAAACACACACACACACACACACAAGGGAGAGGAAACATCGACAAAAAGCATGGCATACTTTTCAGCAATTCAGTTTGTCGAGCAGCTAGTAGAGAGCGGAGTTGCAAGCGCGGTTGTGGGTACATAAAGTGAGTGAAATGGAAACTGCAGTCAAGTGCAATAATGTAATGGCTATATTTGGAGCCGGACAGAGCGAGAGAGTGAGTGAGAGAGCGAGTATTTTGCTATGACCGCAATATTACGTGTGCTGTGTACAGTCCTTGCCGCATCCTGAATTGAAAGCAACTCTGTTAGCCGCATCTTTTGCTTTTATTTGCTAGATGTTCGATTTTGCTAGCTCGAACAAAATAAAATGAAATCAAGCAAACAAAAAAGAAGAACTTATTGACGGTCGCAGTTGGACTCGTCCACGAGGCCGACTGGCGGTCGCGCAGGACCTATTTGGCCTGGCCATTGCTCCATTTCATTTTACCGCATTTCTGTCGCAATTTTCCTGCCCAACTTGTGTTGTAGTTGCTATTTCTTGAGCTGGAGCTTGGCGCATTTTCTGATTGCACTTGCAACTTGCACACAGTTCATTCCCGGAAATTGTTCGGTCAAAATATTTGTGCAATGCCAGGCACGGCTTACACTACACATTCATGCCAGTGCCACTTCATGTAGCTCCCTTTCATCTCCAGTCCCCTTAAGCGACCAGAGATTTGGTTTTTGCCATTTTTCAGTGCTATGCGCATGGTCATGAATATTTCAGGCATTTAATTGTAAATTACACATACGCCCTGTGTGCGCGTTATGCATTTTTTACTATTGTTTGCCAGTTGTTGTCGTTGCTGTTTGTTATTGCTGTTGCTGTTGTTGCTGTGGTAGTTGTAGTTGGCTTTATTGTAATGCTCGGATTTGGTTATTGGGCCACGTGCCTAGGGAAAAAGCGTTTGCTGGGTTTGGTTAGCGCGCACTTAAAAATTTAACTCGCTTGATTAAAGTTCTTGTAAATTGAAATGGTTTCGCGTGTCGCTTGCTGCCGCCTTTCAATTATGCAATAGTTTGACGGCTAATGGAAAAGCCTGTGAAAGTTCATATAGCTCAAGGGGACTTACCATAAAAATTTGTTTTTTTTTCTATGGGCTAACCAAATTGTTCTATAAGCATTTAAACATCACAAAAGCATGCAATGTTTTAAATTATATATATTTAGGAGTATGAAATGTTCATAGGAATATACTGCGAAATTATATAAAAATAATGCTATAATTTAGTTTTATATCCCTATTTCATTTATTTATTAAGAATTTATCTGATTATCAGTCCAACATTTTTATTAAAAATGGTATGTGAAAAAATTTGTCATGAGCATTTTTTTTTTGCGGTTTGGCTTCTGTCATAATCGTCAAATTGAGTATGAAATCGTGTTATTTGGTTGTGTTGTATTTAAATATTGTTTTGTATTTTATTAACAGGACGAGAAAAATCAATTGCTGGTCACGAATGTGTGGCTAAAACTGGAGTGGAATGATATGAATTTGCGCTGGAATACCTCCGATTATGGTGGCGTTAAGGATCTGCGCATACCGCCGCATCGCATCTGGAAGCCGGATGTGCTCATGTACAACAGCGCCGACGAGGGCTTCGACGGGACCTACCAGACCAATGTGGTGGTGCGGAATAACGGCTCCTGCCTATACGTGCCGCCGGGCATCTTTAAATCGACATGCAAGATAGACATCACGTGGTTTCCGTTCGATGATCAGCGCTGCGAGATGAAATTCGGCAGTTGGACCTATGATGGATTTCAGGTTTGGTTCAGTCGCCCGAGTATGCAAAAGAGCAAGGCAACCAGGGAGTACACAGCTCGTAGTTGTTATGCTTATACAAATTTGTTTTGCGAATATTTTATGATTTCATTAGTTTTGATTTCTCATTGAGAAGAAGAATATGAAGAAGAAGAAGGTGGAGAAGGCGGAGCGATATATATTTATATTATTCTACCCTCTCCCCATTGTAACTAAAGCTGGATTTGCAATTACAAGATGAAACTGGCGGTGATATCAGCAGTTACGTGCTCAACGGCGAGTGGGAACTACTGGGTGAGTAAGCCAATGCCAGAACCAAGAACCAAGTACCAAAAACAACTATAATGCTATGGAGCGGGCTGTGCTTACTTTAAGTAACTCACGTACTCTCTCTCACTATATATATATCTATATCTCTGTCGCTCTCTTTCACTCTGTGTCTCAGACAAATGAAACGAAAACATACACATTAGAAATATTGAGAAATGACTGCCAGAGCATTGGCATTGTCATCGTTTATATAGTACATATCTATATATTTATATATGTATGTATATATCTATGTGCGTGAGTGCGTGTCTACGCGAAACGCGTTTGGCCAGCAAAAAATATACAAAAAAAAAAAACAAAAAAAACAGCAAAGACAAAGAAAACTTGTTTTTCATCTTTCTCTCGCAAAGATGTTTTCATAAGAACACACAATGGCTTTGCCTTAAGCCTTAAAGCCTTCAAGTATTTGTACTTTTTCCTATGCTAGTCTATAGCTTAGTCATTTGGAATGAAAAAAAATAAACATGGCATAAAAATTTCTCACTCAACTCTCTAAACTGAAGCAGGGTTCAGGTTGCGAGCTAAAGTTCCGAACTCGTTCCGTTCGAAACTAATACTGTTTTAAAACGGCGTTCTGCTCAACAATTGATTATATGGCCAGTGTTGGTAAGTCTGTAAACCAGCTTAGGCCATTGTAATCAATCGTCTGTTGGGAGCGTTTTCCATCACTGTTGCTCATACATATATTAATTTATCATCATCTCTCCCTAATTACATATAAGGACATATATATTTCGAGGCCAATGAATACGGAATGAAGTATGGCACCTAATGAACCCTGTTAACACTAAACTAAAACTATACTTCTTATATCTCTACTTTTATACTGTTTTACACTCAAAATACTACACGCTTATCCAGTGTTCTCCCACTCACTTACTCTATCAACAAAAAACTCTATCAAAAAAAAAAATAAAAAAAAACTATCATCAATCTTGGGCGCTTTAACTTTTCAAGTCCGAAATAGCCGCGTAAACGTTTCGTTTACCTTATGTATATTAAAAGCAATACTATTATTAAGTACCTGCCAGCGGTGTAGCATAGTTTTAGGTTTAGCTTATGCTTATGCTAGTCTAAAATGTGCTGCCCCGATTGGTGCGTACCTCAAAGATAATTTATCATGACAAGCAAGAGGTAAGGCCCGGCCCATGTATGCAACCCTTAGACATTTTCTAAAGTCAATCGCTCACTCTATCTCTCTCTCTACTATTACTAACAACGCTCTTATGGCATGTTGAAGAGTTAAAGACTCGCAGATGAGAACTCTATTTTATGATTATAATGAATGCTGCCTAGAAATAATGTTGTACATAAAAAAAAAAAAACATAAATTGCATTTTGTTTAGCTATTAAGTAAAGCCAAAAAAACGGATGAGCAAAAATTAAACAGCGTCCATTCTCTTTAGTACACATTTTTTTAAACCAAATTAAACAAATTTTAAAATATAGTTCTTTATTTAATATTCATTACAAATATTAATAGAAAAACTTGATAATATACTTTTAACTTACTTCACAAATCCCTTTATTGTTCTTGCCAAATTTTTGCTCTGCTTTTAGTTTTGACATAACTTTTGATTACTTTTCTAAATGAGGAATATATTTTCAAATCGTTGAACTGCATCAACTTTAAACACCAAGTAGAAATTACTCTGCAGAAGGAAGAAGATAGCAAAATTACAAAAAAATACTGTTAGAAATTAAAGTAAAGAAAAATTGAGACTTGCACACAAAAGCGTAAATTGCACATTTCCGCATAAAGTGCTAAAACAGACAAATGCGCGACTTCCCCACACAAGCAGCTATCTTTCAACCAACACAGCACCACATAGAACTGAACTTTTGTCTAAAATACCCTCACATACATACTCAGACACACGCACACATGATAGAAAAATAGATTTGGCTCCTTAGTTCGCTACAACCACTCACCCAAACCAATTAAGAAATTAAAAGACAAATACAAATACATCCCAACCAACACTCACAGTCAGCACTATAAATTAGTAGTTGCACACAATCACACACACACATACACAAGCCAGAAAAGAAAAAGTTCTCTACTCAACACTGGCCACAAAAGTTCACAACACACAAAAGTGCTGAGAAAGTTTGTGCAACAAATTTTATTTCTGCTCGCCTCCGTTGTTTTGTTTTCACTTTTGCTGCATTACTTAGTTACGTTTCTTTTAAATTTTTGTTTGCTTTTCATGATTTCATTTGGCATTTGTCTTATATATATATAAATATATATATATATTGTTTTATTTGCTGCGTAATTTTCCGGGTTTTTTCTTAAGTTGTTGACTGCTTTTTTTGAGCATCGCTTTTCAATCGCCTTTGGCTGCCAGCTTATGCAAATAATTTGAAGCAGTTTTCTCAGCACTGAAAGAGCGCAAATGTTGGCTGGGTAATTTTTAAATACTTATCAAGACGGTTTTGTGCGCTCTCTGTGTAATCCCTCTCGTAATCTAGGGCTGAGTTGAGCCCACAATTTAGTCAGCACTTCACAAACGGCAAATGGTTTTAGCCAAAAGTTTGCAATGTGTATATGAGACTAGATAAGGTTTGCTAGGGAATATATGATAAAAGACAGTCTAAACACACTTCATATGGTAAAGAAACCTGCTGAAGTACTGAAAACACTTTATACATAACACTTACAATACATATTATAATAGAAATTCTAACTAGAGGTACCGTGCAAGTCCATCAAACTTGTCTAGAAATCAACCCTTAACCACTGTATTTAACCTTTTGCATTTTCTTTAACTAACTTGGTAGTTTAAAACTCAAGCAAATATGGCAAAAGTTTTAGAAACATGTTTGTCTCGGCGCTTACTTCAAATTAGTTGCTCGTAGGCAAATAAAACTTTTGCTGAAACTACAGTTACGCATATAAGTATCTCCCCATCCCCACAGGCGCCAACATACTGAACTTTTCGACTACACTTAGAGAAGCCACAGCATGTACACAAAAGCCACTGTATTCATACTCAATGCATATATATCATTTCGTACTCTCTTATAAGCTATTACCTATTCATAATCACATACACAGAAACATACACACACACACACCCTTCAACTTTAAACGCTTCACTTTACTCAACTTTCTTAACGCTTTTCAAAACTACTCTCAACACTCTACTTACTCTTTCTCTCTACTAAAGTACTTACTTACTCTCTTGCCTGTATGCCATGCTCGCAACATATAGCATAGACATAAAGCTCTGACAAAGGCCCAAGTAAAAGCTGACACAAATACGAAAGAAATTAATATGCTCTATTTTGAAAATATTTATTTCGAATTTGATACTAATGTGTTGATCATTTGCTTAACCAATAACCCATCCAATAGGTGTGCCTGGCAAACGTAATGAGATCTACTACAACTGCTGCCCGGAACCGTATATAGACATCACATTTGCCATTATCATACGACGACGAACACTGTACTATTTTTTTAATCTGATTATACCCTGTGTGCTGATTGCATCTATGGCTCTCCTCGGCTTCACCCTGCCACCGGATTCGGGTGAAAAGTTATCGCTAGGTAAGTATTTATATTAAAGAATTTTAAGAATTTCTCTGAGCGTCCGATCCACGGTTTCAATTGTTGACGCCAATATAGTTGAGAAAATTAAATCTTGAATAGTTTATTAAATTAATATGAATTTGCACTTTTACTACAAAAACAACTTGGGAAGTGGCAGAAGTTTAAGTGGCGATTCAAAAGTATTTGCCAAGTACTTTTTTACAATAATGACAGCCGCCAACTCGAATCTAAAATTGAGTAAAAAATCACCCTTCGCTGTTGATGACGAGCCGCGACTCGACGAGTTTCGAGGCTGGCTGACGTCGCACATTAAACGCAATGATGATGGGGCAAGATGAGATGACGCCACTGCCACGGCAAGCTGTTAGGCTGTCGAACAAACTATTGAACTTATAATGTAACCATGACTGGGTAGTAAAAGTGGGCGTGCAGAGTGTGAGTTGTGCTTAGCCTCGCCTCAAAATGTTCCCCACATAAATTGTGGGTGGTTGGTTAAAGCATAGAAGCGCAGGGATAAACTTAAATACAATAAACAGTTATTGATGGGATGCTCTTAATATTGCTTATGTAACTTGAAATAGTTGAAAAAGTAGCGTGCCAAATAGACATAAATCTTAAGTAGCGTCCTTAACCATAGGTAATCAAACTTTTTAGCTACAATAATTCTTAACCTAAATAACACTTCATACATTTTTAATGTCTAGGCGTTACGATCTTGCTCTCGTTGACCGTGTTCCTCAATATGGTTGCCGAGACAATGCCAGCCACCTCAGATGCAGTGCCGCTGTTAGGTAAGATGATTTTGTTTACCAAAGTTACTCCTGGTTATTGCTTATTTTACATAAATGTGTAATCCTTGTAATATCCTTATCGTATATATGTACTTGTATTATCGCTGTGTCTACAATGTTTGAATTTGCTTTTGAGTTCGTGTGCTCTTCTGTTTACAGTTCACAATTAAGTGTTTCTAAATCATATTAAAACATATATAACATAACTCTAACTTCTAAAGTTGCTATTGCAGTTACATTCACATATATTCATATATTCATGCATTTCTAAAACGATTTTAATAACCAAAAAATCCGATGATTTTATAATATTAAAACTTTGACACACAATTTACAAAATAAAACGATATATCAGCGTTTTCTTTTAAAGAATTTTTCAAGCAGTTTCTTTGGCTTTAAAGCCAAATGATTTTGATTGTCAAAATCGTTTGACTTGAAAGCAATAAAGAAACCGCGTGCTGATGTTAAAAAGAGTCTAAAACCCGTAGAGAAAAAAATAATTTAAAACTAATTGGTAGGGTACATAAATTATGCAATTAAAACTAAAAAGCTATATTTAAATAATGAAAAAAAGAATTATAAGAATAATACTTATAATCCCAGTTATGACACACTGAACACACGAGTTGGTTTGATAAAATGCACACACATTTGAAATCGAGTTAATTGCACGCTATAATCTTTTTTTGGATTATCAAAATTCAAGTAATTCCAATTTCGTAACCTGATTAGATTCTAATGTTATATTGTATGGGTTGTTTCTAAAAGCTAAATTAATAAACGTTATGTCGAATTCATTCTCATATTTCAATAAACTTTACAACATTTATAGTCATATTTTGTTTTAAAATGTCTGAGACATAGTTAAACAATAATTACTTAAAAAGCGCTTTATATGGCCAGGCTATTTAATCAAGAAAATAGATATTTTACATATTCTAAGTATACACAAAATATCTTAGTATCTGGAATAGCTTTTTATCTTATATAAGCTTGAAAAACTTTTAAAAAAATATATACGACTCGCTTAGGAAACAATCTATACAAAATAATAACTTATAACTTTCAAATTACAACCAATTGAGCCACAATATTTCATTAATATTACTTATTAAATATACAATTAAAATTTACAGTAAAATTAAACTTTTGTTGGAATTTCAATTTAAATACTAAAGTCTTTTAAGATTCAAATATTTAACTTTATTGTTCAACTTAAACTATCTAATTCAGTTTTTGGCGTACATTTTTTGGGTGTCTACTTCATATACATAACCACTAAAATATTAATCCAACTAAAAATTAACTGTGTGTGTTTGAAAACAATTTTTTTATCAATACAAATAAAGAGTATTTGTTATGCCTAAACAAGTAAAAACCAAAAACGTTTAAAAAAAACTAAGAACAGATTTGCATTTCATATAAATACTAACTAAAATATTTGTATATATCTCTACCTTTTTTCTCTCTTTCACAAATTGTATACCTTTTGTCGAAAATACTCTCAATAACCCAAAATAAAAATTCAAATATCAAACACTGAATGAATTCTGATCGAAATATGGTACCCTGAAATATGCTCGACAAAACCAACTAACCAACCAAATAAAATTAAAAATAAAACAATAATAAACCGATACAAATCCAAAACAACAACCAACACCAATCGCACTAAAACAACCACACTGAAAACTTAAAAAAATAAAACAAAACAAAATCTATAAATGATAAACTATTTTATATATAATGACAACACGCCCAACCAACCAACAGGTACATATTTCAATTGCATAATGTTTATGGTAGCTTCATCCGTTGTGTCAACGATTTTAATATTAAATTATCATCATCGAAATGCTGATACGCACGAAATGTCCGAATGGGTAAGTTTTCAAAATGGGTCATTCAACCAACCTAACAACCAACAACTCGTATCCAAATCAACTAACAAACAACAAAACATCTGCAAAATGCGAACCCATCACTTATCATAGCCTCAAGCAGCAGCAGCAGCAAAGGGAGAAAATTCCATTCCAGAAGCGTCAACCGGACGTGGTGCTGGACTTGCTCGCCTGCTGCTCTGTTTACAGTCGCAAAGCATTAGCATTTCTTATGATTTATCTGTTGCTAGCCCCACAAAAAAAGACAAACAGAAACAACTGCATATATTTTTGAGAAATGCGCTAAAATAATTTATGTGTTAGTTAGAAAAATGTTCTTTGTGTTTTCCTCTGTTCTGTGGTCTCGTTGTTTTGTTATCACCAGATATCTTGTGTTGTACTTATTACTCATTTATTATTGTTGATCCAATATAAAAAATTGTCGAATATTTGTTTTGTGCTGCCACAAAATTAAGCCACACCTTGATCAGCAGTTTGCATTTTAAATCTAGCCTCCAAATAAAAACTTGCAAACTTGTTCAGTTTTACGGCGTAAGCCGCATATTTGTGGAGTGTTTCCGGATGAGCGAACCATGAAGTGGATCTATGAATTTATACTGAATACTTTAACACAAATATTTTTATGTGACATGGAAATAAACACAACTTAATTTATGCTTATCACGTCTCATTTATCAATAACAAAATAGTGTGAGCGAAGAGGAAAACACCTTATAAATTTGTTAAATACCTTTGAATACTTGCCGAATATATGTGTACTATATAAGCAAATATTGTAAATATCTATCACACATCATAGTCCATAGTCCATTCACCAAGTTCATAAAATTTCTGTGAAGCCTCCAATAAATACAAACCATGCAAAATGCAATTCTTCTAGTTGCTGCACCAAATATACAAATATATCTAAATATATATTTATTACTGTTATTATGATTGTAATATTATTGTTGTTCTGCCCCGTTTGTTGTTGTCGTTGTGTTGTTGTAATAACTTTTTGATTTGCCTACAAACGTATTAATTTTTCTGTACTTTGGTTTATCATTGTGTTCATTTTATAGCCTACTTAGAGGCATTTATGCAAGCTGTTTTTTTTTTTTGTTTTAGAAATGTACTTAGCTAAAATCAAAATAACAGCTGAATTTCATGTGTGTATGACCCAAAAATAAAAGCCAAATTAAATGTCAAAAAAGAAGCGAAAAGATGAAAAAATAATGAAATTCCGAGCCCAAATGTGACGGACGGATGTACAGAGTACGAAATAAATGTTGTAACTATGTGACTAGCCAACATGTCTGCTACGACGAGTACTAAAAGTGTCTACTATAAAATAATTTATGTAATGAAAAATATCGTAATGTTGATGTTGGGCCCATAATTTTCTTCTTATATATTCCTAAAATTCACTCTGTATAATCAATCACTTCCTCCCCCTCTATCTCTGTTTTTTCCCCCCGCAATTCCAAACCTATTCACAAGCTAACCAGCCAACCCAATCACTAGCCACTAATTGCACAATTTGTACTCTCACATTTCTAACAGATGAAAGTGCAGCCTAATTAATTTTAAATATGTCACACGATTGTGTAAAATGTTTGTAAATTGAATGTTTGACTCATATGAGTTAATGGGTGGGTTTTTAATAAAAGCGTTGTTTTTAAAGTTAGTTTAAATTATAAAATAATGTAAATTCTAAGATTTAAAAATAGTAGAGGTTAAAGCCAGGGAAAAAATATCTTAAATAAATTCATTGCCTTAACTTTAAATGTATTACAAATTTAGTTAAACTTACAATAAATCAAACACCATTTTTTTTTTAACAATAACTTTTAATTTTACTTATTATATCCAAAACTATGCAACAAATATTTCAAACATGGTACATTTTTGGGTATAATGAATATATATAAGGGATTTTAAATTTCTCTCTTATTGTGACCCTAAGTACCAAATAGTCATGACTAATACTAGTACAATACTGGTATACCAGTAGCTAAATTAAGTAAAGTATTTAAAATGACTCCAGTTTGATAAATTTTTAATAGGTTTTGGGATACAACTTAGTTATATAAGTCCTCGTATCGCTATCAAAATTACTATATCAAATTCAAATAACTGCCTGTCTAATGTTCGTAGCATGAGTCATATTTTTTATTGTATTTTGTTACCAGTCCCTTGCCAATTGAACATGGCCAACACGTCAAGTGGAAAGCAATTTCAGCAAATGCAATTGCATGAACAGCATAATGGAAAATTTCAATGCTGCTTACACTTTACAATACAATGTACATTACATATATATAAAAAAGACGTTGTTTGGCTCACAAGTTGGCTAAAAGGGGCCGCTAAACTGAATGCAGCTCAGTGGAAGTCAATTGGCTTTTAAGAAGTCAGTCACATGAAATGTTTTCTATGGTTTTTTCGCCGCGAAAAATTGTGGACAGGCACTTGTGCCGACTCAACATGCAATCGAATTTAGAGGAGTTCAAGAAAAACCCCAAATCGAGTGCAAACACACATACACACACACAAATACACATTTGAAAAGTGAAAGACAGGCGACAGTTGGCCCAGTTGCAGTTGAAGATTTTATAGTGACACGGGCAGGAAAATTGAGTCAATTGGTAAAGCAGGTGCATTAGAAATGTGAAGCGCTTAGGGCATGTACAAGAACTGCCTTGCTGAAAAAACCCCCTCGCTCCCTTCACATCCCTACACTCCTTCATGGTTTTTCGTTCTGTGTGATAACAACAAATCAATTTGCACAAAATTTGCGCAAAGCGAGCGGCCAAAATTGAAAGAAAAAAAATGAAGCAGAACACAGTTCTGTGGTCTGTGGGGCAATGCCGCATATCATGGGGCAGGCGATACGCTCTCGAGCTTTCCATCGGATCGCATTCAAAACTTTGCATTTGGTTTGCATGCCACGTCCTCAAGCGCATTTCCATGTATCCATCGCTTGTTAGCGACACCGCCAACGTCAAAGTAGTACAACTCAAGCAGGCGGTCCGGTTGGGGGGTTTCGGGGGCTGCAGCAGATGTCAATGTGGCTTCGGTTTTAGATCCGTTCAGCAAAAAACAATTGCTTCGTAGTTCCACAATGAAGTGCAGTTTAGCATGACAATCGATTGGATTTCCGTTGTTTCTTCCGTCTGCTGCGCTCTGAACTTTAATCAAAGCTCAACAACGGCTGTGAATATTAAATGGAAGGAATTTCAAGAGATTATACAGGAGATAGATTGTTGGTAATGTAACTTTATTCTTCGCAATATTTTCTCTTCAGTATTAACAGAAAATTTAAAAAGAAAATATTGAAAATTATAAAAATTGAATTGAACTCAAAATTATTATAGTTATAAATGGAATTTCTAGAATATATTTTAAGAAGTACATTATAATTTTAATACGATATATTTACTGTTTAGATAAAGACAACGATGACATAATTTCAATCAATTCGAAAAATAGCTTAAATTTAACATAACCGAAAATGAATTTGTATTAAATTGATTTATAAACTTTCGTCTTACAAAACTTGTTGCGTTTTGCTGTTCCTTCGATTTATAGCCAGCATATATCAACTGTGTGCGTTTGTATAAGTGTTTTGTATATTTATAGCCGTCAAGTAATCGGTCGATATACATGCGTATGTGATATATTCATATATATATATTTGTGTGTGTGTATTTAGCTTAGATAATACCAAATTGTTGTCTGCGTTATTGTTATTATTGTTGTTGTTGTTGTCGTCATTATTGTCGTTGTTGCTGTGACGTGTTTATTGTAAATCATAAATTTTGCATGCATCATAGCTATAAATAAACGCCAGAGCAACAGACGAGAAGAGAAGCACTGCACATAAATATTATTATAGCTAAGTGTAATAGTAACGCACACCAAAACATCCTGCCGTTACCCAACACTTGCCACACCACTACTACACACTACCAACATGAAGAACAGCAACAGAGCTCTCTCGGTGGGGGCATATTGTTGCTTTAGTTGTAATCAAAATCAAATATAAATCATAATTGTGTGACGTATTTGTGTGTTTTATGCCACAGTGAGTGTATGTGTATGTGTGTGTCTGTGTCTGTGTGTCTGTGCTCATGCAAAAGCGCCATAAATCGTTGCCAGCCCAGTTAAGTATGCCACATATTTGGCCAGACACACACACAATCGCATATGCATACACACAAAAACACAGAGATACTGAGCTCATCATTGAAATACTTGTAATACACGCATTTGGAGTCGAGTTTGCCTCATGCAGTTCGTCTACTAAACGTTTCAATTTCCACCTGCTGCCACACATGCCACAACCCATTAGATTCGCATCGTATTTTTATGCTGGCTGCCATGGATATTGCGCATGAGTCGACCGGGCCGACCGCTGATATTGGAATTCCCGACAACGCCCTGCTCAGATACCTCATCTGAGCGAAAGCATCAGATACTATCCGATGTTGAGCTGAAAGAGCGGTACTTATTCTTCCATAATACACATATATACGGATAGGGCTTGCTGCAGCGGACACCCACGGTTCCTTTCTTGCCGCCTTTAGTTGGTATCATACAAATCAAATAACAAAATCATTTTTACCAATTAAATATGACTACTAATAATTTCGAGCATATCAATTATTAAGAATTAAAAGAAAAACCTATATATTCATATTGGTATTAAATTGTATGCTTGCTCCCTTAGGAAAAGTTTTGGTAAATATACTTGATGCACAAAAAAAGTGCTCAAAAGTTAAAAGAGTATCTTAGAAAATAGTGCGGCCTAAGGTGGCTGTCCGTTCGTAGAGCTTTTACTGAACATATATGTGTGTATTTTGTGCAAAATGTTTCTGTGATCTGTTGATATGCTAAAATAATCTCTTTTCGCCCCACGAAGGTCCTCGAAGTCGCTGCTCGCCAATGTGCTCGACATTGATGATGATTTTCGGCACAATTGTCGCCCCATGACGCCCGGCGGAACATTGCCCCACAATCCGGCTTTCTATCGCACGGTTTATGGGTAACAACAACGAACACAACAACCACACACACACTAAACATTACGCACACTCACACACACACATACACTCTCAAAAGCCCCCCCACAGGCTTATCTCACTTTAGTGGTTTACCAATAAACTCATCCCCTCACCTTCACATCTCTCTCCACCCCGACCCGATCCGTTTTCCGCACATCCGTTCTTCCGCTTTCCGCTTTTCCCCTTTTGCAGGCAAGGCGACGATGGCAGCATTGGGCCAATTGGCAGCACACGAATGCCCGATGCGGTCACACATCATACGTGCATCAAATCATCAACAGAATATGAATTAGGTTTAATCTTAAAGGAAATTCGCTTTATTACTGATCAGGTAAGTGCTTCCGTTGTCAACATCCCAGCCTACGCATAAAGCTTGAATAAATCATATTTCGATTAGCTTTACTTTATCTCGTGCGATAGAATTCCATTAGGCAATGCCATAATGTGTATATATATATGTATATATACCCTTGCAGAAAGTATTACCAATTTTCAATCAATTGATATGGCTTTAAAACAATGTCCGTTTGTCTGTTTGACTGTTTTTATACTCTCTCACTTTCTTTCTCTATTTCTATCACTCTCTTATTAATTGCAATCTATTAATAAATCAGAATCAGACGTTTAAAAGCAAAGGCGTTTTATGTATCTTTTTGCCAAGATATAAAAATGGGAATTTAATAACATAAAATCATAGACTATTTAATAAAAAGGCGAACGTTTCTTTTTGCAAGGGTATTTTAACTCCAGTGATAATTCTCTTAATTAGTATACAAATTGATTATATTTTTGATAGCTTTTAAAAGAAATTTAGTGTATTTTCAAGCAGACAAATTTACTTGCATGGATATGCGAGTGCATATCACTTATATATAAATTTATATATTTGCTACATATAAGTTATCCTAATATTTGCACTAGCCTATGATGCACAATTTATTTAAAATGTATATTGCATAAATATTATTATATTCCCTAGTCTAGATTCGATAATATTGTAAAAACCAACACCAACAATTTTTTAACTTCTTTTTCTCTCCAAAATTTCTTACTATCTTTCTAAAAATACAATAAACCAATCCATAACATAATATTATATAATAAAATCCGTGTTATCAACAATGAAATTGTAATTAAATAGCTACGTAAAGACGACGAGGACAATGACATTGCCAATGATTGGAAATTTGCAGCTATGGTCGTTGACAGACTGTGCCTTATCATATTCACAATGTTCACAATATTAGCCACAATAGCTGTACTACTATCAGCACCACATATTATTGTCTCGTAGCCATATGGGCGAGGTGGTTATTGTTATTGGTTTTATTATAAAATCAATTTGTTAATTATTAAATTAATAACGAAACTTTTTAAGTAAATTTAAAACCATTTAAAAAAAAAAACAAAACAAAAAATCAACAAAAAAAGAGAAAAAATACTTATATAAAAACCATTGACTAAATAATACCAAAAGAAAATTAAAAAAAAAAACACACATCAATAATTTAAAAATAAAATGAAACTCGTTTAAAAAGTCTTTAAAAAAATCCCAAAAACACAAAGAAGACTTAAAAATCATAACCTATAATTCTTTAACCATTTTTAATTCCAAAAAAATCCTTGAGCCACAAAAAACTTAAGCCTCGAATCCAAATGTCCCAAGCCAGTAATTAAGTTTCATCCATTTAATGTATTTAAAAAGACAAGAATGAAACGGGTATATTTTCTTTAAAGATTTGTATATTTTACACTTTATGAGCAATTTTTCACAAAACAGTCGATGATTTCAAAGAATTCGTAGTACACTTTAATGAAATTGCAATATTACATTAATTGTTTCGAAGACTTCGATTTTATACGCTCAATTCCGTATGAAAGTATTGAGCTTTATAAAGGGAAATACATAGTAGAAATTAAATGGATCAAAATGGTAGGCAAAACCCAACGTTTTTTTATGCTGGCTCTCCAGCAAGATTATTAGAATTACTGAATCAAAAAAAAAAAAAAAAGAAAAAAAATCCAAAAAAAAAACTCTTCTTGAGCTTTATATTATTCATGCAAGTAGCTTTTCCAGATTCAGATTTTTTTCATAAGATCATCAATTCCATAGCTTCCAATCAAACTTAAAAGGAATTGCATACAAGACATAAGCTTAAAGTCACATTCTTAGAACAAACTGCATTTCTAAACAGAACCAATATGACGACCTACATATCCAAAACACTTGTACGTAAAAACTCCTTAAAACCTTTAAAATGTTTATTTCAACTAAAACAAAACAATAAAGCAATCCCCATCCCAAAGCTAAATGCATATACAAAACCAATAGAATAACCCATCCATCGAATCGAAAATAACCAATTGGAATTACAAAATTTAAATAAAAAAATATATATATATTACCATAACGAGCAGTGAACATAAACGAAAACCTGAAGATCATTCCTCAGAGTACTAAAAAAAAAAAAAATACCAAGCCCAATATGTGCACAGCAAATGGAATGCAAATGGTATGCATTACATCTGAATGTGAACGGCACAGCAAATTGATTGAGGATCGAAAATGCGAAATTGATAAATTAAATGGTTGCGAGCAATAATATCTGCGTGTTGATGAATTGCATGATTTTTTTGGTGATGCAAACAATGATCGATCGATCTATTGCCTGAATACTCTCTGTACTCAAAGCAAAAGTTCGCTCATTCATTGCATTGAGAACAGCGAATGTATCTAAACTGTACACAAATTTACAACTTTCGGTATTCTTTTTCTATAAAAAAAATATACACTTTATTATTTTTACTTTATTAAAAAAAAAAACAAAATGAAAAGTTAAACTCAAAAGCTAAATAATGAATACTGAAACTTGGTACAACACCAAAATGCATACAACGCGATTCAACACCTTCCAAAATAAAACAAAAAAATATACAAAACATAATAAAGTAACACAAAAAAAAAAGAAATACAAAAAAAAAATACCAATAACAATGAACATCATAGAACACAAAACATGTCCGGTGAATGGCAAATTATGTGCTTTGCTTCAGTGTTGCGAGCACATTAACAAAAACACTACCACAAATCACTTACCAAGAGAGAGCTTTATACATACATACATATATAGAGATCAAGAAAAGGAAGCAAAAACAAAAAAATAGATTCGTATCTCATGAGTCTTCTTCTTCATACATTTGCATACACACAAATGTATATACTCAATTAAGTATTAGCTGAAGTTTCCAAAAAAAAAAAAAACATATATATAAATCCACAGATCCACTGGTCTGTCGTTTGTTACTGTCCACAAACTAGCCAAGCACACAATTTCTACACATAGCGAACAAAAAACAAAATATATAGATATATATACACCAAAGCAACAAAAATCTTAAAAATTACAACTTCATGTGAGTCAGGTGAGAGTCGGCAATGGTAATAAAATCACAAGTGGTAAATTATCCTGATAACTTGGTGCCATTTACAGCTCTCATGGGACTCCACATGCCTAAACAGAACTTCACGTAAATATATGTTAAAATTTCACATGTTTAACATTATAGTTTTATAATTTTTAAGTTACAGCAATTCTGCTTCTAATTGTAAATCTTGTGCATTGAAAACAATCAGAATTTTTCTTTGAATATACAAATAATAAACAACCGCAACAACAATAACAACTTTAACCGATAAAGCAAATACATTAATTTGCGCATATAAAGGATTTAAAACAAATACTATTACAAAACCAATACGAAAATGTCATAAGTTTAAACTAAGATTAACAAATTACACATCATAATTACATCATAAAGATAATTAGGATTCTATCAAAGAGATCTGAAAAGTAAAAACCAAACAAAACCAAACCGACAAATATATAGCAATAGTTTTCCTTGTATATTGTGAAAAAGAAAAAGGAGAGACACCGAACAAAAAGGGATCGAAAGGATCGGAAGCCCTTTTAAGTTTTTTTTTGTATTTTTTGTATAATTTTTCGCATTTAAGAAACTTTTTAAACAGATTTTATACAATTTATATGCAAGTACAATTTTGAACCTATACAAAAATGTTGTGTTAATTTTGCTTTCCGTTTTTACAATACGAATGCACTTTATTTTGGAATCAATTTTGAAATCGTAGTGTTTTTAAGAATGTCGAAATTTGTGGGACAGATTAATAAAGTTAAGGTTTAGCTTTTGATAACAAAAACCAATGAATCTGATATCTAATCTTTGCAAGAAATATATGTACTATTTCAAAAAGGTGAAAACATTATATTATTTTCTTTTTATTTCACAAATCACAAATTTTATTTGAATATTTGGCTCTTGATTTCGTAACATTCTTCACATGCTATTAAATGGCACAAATTTCGATCCTAACACAAGAGTAATACAAATAATTTAAATGAAAATAGCAAGCAAGCTGCCAGCATGAAAAATAATAACAATAATTAATTTTAATATTTTGTAAATTTTTCATCATTTGAGCTCATTTCTAGTATCTGAAAGAAGCTGAGAAAATACAGAAAAACCACTGAGGAAATTGTAAGACAGTTTAATTGAGAATACAGCAACATAGTAAGGCTTAGCAATCAATAACGGGATTAAACGCAAATCTCATTAATTGACAAAACCAACCGTTTGACGTAAAGCATAAGCAATTTTTAAACGAAGTCAAAAAAAAACAAAAAGCAAAAAAAAACACAGCAGATAGATTTAAACTAATAGAAAATAATGGAAGATAGCCCTGTTCCATGCAAGGACGAATTCAAACAAATATGTCGAGACAGACTGCACCCGAGAAAAATGCTAAGAAGCTCAAAAGACAGTTCAAGAGATTAATACTACATTTAAGAGAGGTAAACAAATAAATACATTTCGAGTACATCAAGAAAACAGTTTGGAAAACGTTTCTTTCATCATACATACATACATATGTGTGTATATAGTATGTATATGCATACATATACTATATATATATATGTGTATATATATATACATTTCTTTTTTACACTGAAAACAAATATATATAGATATATATATCTATATAACTATATATATATATATATATATATATATATATATATATACTTAGCGTACTATGTAATGATACAAAATTATTTCAAAGCAAATGATGAAACTTTTTCCTAAAAACTAGTTGCATTTAAATGAATTTTAAAAAAATATACATAAAAGTATATATTTATTAAAAGAAAAACAAAAACAAATGAAAACCATGCTCCTTTCTCTACTAAAAAACAAAAAAAAAAAACATAAAAACAACTTTAATATAATACTTAATTAGATATTAATAATAGTCAAAAAGTGAAACAAAAAAATAAAAAACCAAGTCAAGCGAACAACAAGAAATCGTAACTAGAAAATATTAAAATTAAATTAATTTTTAAAAATGAGAAAACAAAAAAAAAAGAAAGAAAATGCGCTGATTTTTTATGTCGTTATTAGTATTTAAATTTAAATAATTGCATAAAAAACCATAAAAAAAATTTAATAAAAAAAAAACAACAACAAAGCAGAAATATATGAAATAAAAATTAGAAAAATTGAAATTGGTCATTTTGACCTAAATAGTAAATTATAGAAAAGAGATAAAAGAAAAAACCAAACCAAACAATTGAAAGGCAAAACCCCGACAAAAAAGATTGTAAAATTTTAATTATTATTATTCAATAATAAAAATATAAAAAGAAACAAATTGACAGAGATACCAAAAAATCAAAACAAAAAAAAAAAAAAAAAAATACAGATGTCCAACAAGTTTTATTGACGACATACAAATTTGATATCTGTATTAGTGGATCACCATTAGCAACAGCTTGCAGAGAGACGAACTGAAGACCCAGAAAGGTAAATCCCGTGTCGCTAGTTGTAGGTTTAATATCTGTAAGATCAATGCAATGTATTATAAACACCGCAGGAACTGTTCAATGTAAATACATATTGCTTAGTTTACGTCCATACATCATTATGTCATCATCAAAGAAAAAACACCTATCGCAAATAATTGCGATAGAGCGATCATAACATAATTATTATTATTATTATTATTATTATTATTTGAATACTCATGCAATCATCGTCTGGTATAGCAACAATACATTGTAAAAACAAGAACAATAGAAGAATATTAGAATATTTAGTATTGTAATAATCAGTTGACATATAACAATTAATGCAAGCATAACAACAACATAAAATAATACAAAATCATAGTTCAATATCAATGTTGAAATATTTATATTCAAAGTGGTAAAATTTTACATCAGGTCGCATCCGGACCTGGCGTCATTCTGATTCATTCAAAGAAAAT